TTAATTTTTTTTTTTTTTTTGGACGGGCAGTGTATTTTTAGATTATTTGAAATTAAATCATTTTAATTATTATTATTTATTTCTTTTAAAGCATGTTTCCTGTGTATGTCAGCATAATATATCTTGTTCATCAAGGCTGCTGGATTCAAATTAATTTTATTTTCTTTTACAGTTTTTTTTGACAGAACAGAACACTGTTTTTCTGCCTCTCACTTCTTCCGGCTCTGCTGAGAGATGTCCACTCCTGACCCACCTATGGGCGGGACCCCTCGGCCGGGCCCTTCCCCAGGCCCTGGGCCATCTCCAGGGGCCATGTTAGGGCCTAGTCCTGGACCCTCACCTGGCTCTGCCCATGGAATAATGGGCCCCAGCCCTGGGCCCCCCTCCTCAGGACATCCACTACCTCCACAGGGCCCCTCAGGTTACCCTCAGGACAACATGCACCAGTTGCACAAGGTACTACCAGGTTTTATCTAGGCCTGGGCGATAAAACGGTATCGATATTTATCGACGGTACACCATCATCGATAACGATAACAAATGTTTGATATATCGCACGATAGTTTCACACTTTTTTCATTTAAAGGCACATTATGAGTGACAAGCAGACAGCCAATAGAACACACAAACACATGCTGAAATGAGTGCCCTACCTGCCTGCGATGAGGAGACTGAATCAAAAAAGGAATATTAGTCGAATTTAAAATAAATTGGAATTGCAAAAATGGTGTATTTGAATTTTAGGTGTGCATCAGGGAGCCTTATCAGTGGCGCACGAGATGCGGTGATGATGTAAGTGTCATTGTTGCTTTTTAATGTTTTTGTTAATCTATCCAGTTGAACCCACAAGATGCGCCACTGCTGCGTTTTTCATTCAAAATATTAGAGAAGTATAGAAGCTCAATGCAGAGAAGATATTGGTTTGGTTAAAACTGAAACCAAGTCATTCATGCAGAAAGCATATTCTGCGCATTCTTGAGACGCACAACTATGACTGTTGCACTCGCGTCTCGCACAAGAGATGAATAGAAAGCCATGTAAAGTTAAAAGAGGTTCAACTTTTAGAAAGCATGTCTCGAGAATTTATGGGGGGCTTCTTCCATTCCACTGCATTTTAAATGCAATCTTGTGATCGGCGCTTTGGCGATTTGTATTAAGCTATGCATAAATACATGATGCTGTTTTGTTCATAATTGTTTATGCAATTTACGAAATTAAATTAAATATTAGTTAGACGGTGTGCACTTTTTATATAGACGGCTGTTATTTGATAGCTTTGAATAAACAATTTAATAAAGTGCATTATTTTGCTCAATGCGCCCTCCTGTGGCCTCCACAGACAGGCCAAATGTTTCCTTAACGCTTATTTAATCTGCATATAAAATATAAGAGAGGAGATATGTTTCAATTTTATTTTGTGTTTGACTGTTAAAACTAAAATAAGTTGTTTGTCTTAATAAATAGGGTAAATTAAAAAATACAGTGGTTAAATTTAAACCGTTTTCTACTGCTCTATGTTTAAGAAAAGTTATTTTAAAAATGTCAATAATTATCGATACCGAATGACATGAAACATTTTATCATGATAATTTTTTTTAGCTATATTGCCCAGCCCTAGTTTTATCAATATGTGTCGGATTCATTGTGGTTTTGTGGCATGTCTTTCGTTTCTGTTGTTTGGATGGTTTCATTGAGTCATTCTTTATTTTGTATTGTTTTGAAGCCCATGGAAGGCATGCATGAGAGAGTCATTCCTGAAGATCAACGCTACGCTCAAATGAAGGGTATGGGCATGAGACAGGGTGGGCACAGTGGCATGGGGCCTCCACCCAGTCCTTTGGACCAACACTCTCAGGGTATCTTTCTGTCTATCCTTCTACCTACGTTTCTTTTTATCTGGCTGTCACTCTTTCTGATGCTCTCACTTTTTCTTCCTCTCTATCACTCTTTCTGTCATGAAAGCAGTTGAATCTTCTGTTTATTCAGCTGCAGCCATGGGCATTTTCTGGGTTTCTTCTGCGAGGCGTATTTGGAGATTCAGCGTGAGAGCGCCCTCTGGCCTTTGGATGGAGATTTACTGCTGATCACAGAACCGTGCTTCACTGAAAGATACGCATGACAATCGCAGCTTCTGTCGAATCACGATCTCGATTCCATTTCGATTTATCGTGCAGCACTAATGCCCATCCAAAAAAAAAGTCACCACCTGGATTTAACTAAGCAAATAGGTAAGAGCCTCACATTGGATAATTACTGCATGGATGATTATGTTTCAAATTGTGAAAGAGTGGTTCAGGGAGCATGAGACATCATTTTCACACATGGATTGGCCACCACAGAGTCCAGAACTTAACCCCATTGAGAATCTTTGGGATGTGCTGGAGAAGACTTTGTGCAGCTGCGCAGCGGTCCGACTCTCCCATTATCAATACAAGATCTTGGCGAAAAATTAATGCAACTCTGGACAGGAATAAATGTTGTGACATTGCAGAAGCTTATCGAAACAATGCCACGGCGAATGCGTGTCGTAATCAAAGCTAAAGGCGGTCCAACGAAATATTAGAGTGTTTTTTTTTTTGTTTTTTTTAATATGATTTTGCCTGCTTCCCCACTGGTCTCTGATGATTCAACAGTTCCTGCTCTAACATCTGCTACTTACTCTTACTGGGTCTCAATTAAGACAGCAGTATTTATGAATCTGCTCTTATTTACATTTCTATTTTTCTGCATATGTGCACGAACGGCGGCCAAAACAGCCCCTCTGCCCCACACACAACACAGATGTTTCTTGAGCGAGGCCAAGAGGTGAGCGCTCAGTTTGAGAACAGCGATGCAAGAGTACAAGCTAAACAGAGAGAGATTTAGGACTGCGAGATTTAATGAAGGGTATGGGCATGAGACAGGGTGGGCACAGTGGCATGGGGCCTCCACCCAGTCCTTTGGACCAACACTCTCAGGGTATCTTTCTGTCTATCCTTCTACCTACGTTTCTTTTTATCTGGCTGTCACTCTTTCTGATGCTCTCACTTTTTCTTCCTCTCTATCACTCTTTCTGTCATTCTATCTGTCTTTCAACCTGTTTGTGTCTGTTTGTGGCTCTATCCTTCTTTCTATCTATCTTCTGTCGTTCTGGGGTGCGTTTCCTGAAAGCATAGTTAGCTAACTATGGTGGTAAGTTCCATTAAACTCTATTGGTAATGACAGAACTTGCGACCATAGTTGATTTTGGGAAACGCACCCCTGTTTGTCTATCGTTTGCCTGTCTGTTTCTTTGTATTTGTTGCTTTTTGTTGTTCTGTCTATCGTTCTTTCTATCTATTGTTCTATATCTGTCGTTCTATGTCAGTTGTTCCATCTTTGTGTCTTTGTATCTTTCCGTCACTCTATTTCTCCTTCTTTTTCTCTGTCGTTCTTTCTGTCTGTCTGTCGTTCTGTCTGTTTATTGTTCTACCTGACTGTTTCTTTGTATCTGTCTGTTGCTCTATCACTCTTTCTGTCATTTTATCTGTCTATTGTACTTTCTATCTGTCTGTCTGTCATTCTACCTATCTGTGTTTCTTTGCATCTGTCTGTTTCTCTATCACTGTTTTTGTTCTCTGTGATTTTTTTTTCATTCTCTCATCTTTCTAGCTGTCTATCTTTCTGTCTCTCTATCACTCTTTCTGTCTTTCTTTGTTTCTCTGTTGCTCTTTCTGTCTTGCCTTGCCTATAGCTCTTTCTGCCACTATCGCTTTTTCTATCGTTTTGTGTATTTTTTTCTGTCTGTTGTTCTGTCATTCTGCCTGTCTGTTTATTTGTATTTGTCTGTTACTCGCACTCTCTTTCTATCTATGCCGTTCTACTTGTCTGTCTATCGTTCTGCCTATTTATTGTTCTTTGTATCTGTCTGTCGCTCTGTCATTCTGTCTATCTGTCTGTCATTCTGTTGTTCTGTCTATCATTCTTTCTATCTGTCTTGTTCTTTTTGTCTGGTGCTCTCTCTGTTCTATCACTCTTTCTGTCGTTCTGTCTGTCATTCTTTCTATCATTCTGTCTGTCTTTCTACATATGTCATTCTCTCCTTCTAGCTATATTTTATCATACACATGCACTGATGCACACGTGTGAAATATAAGATATGCAGATGTTTTGTGAGCTCTGTGTCTGTTATATAGAGAACAGATGGCACGCTCACTGCTACACTGTTTAGACTGGGTATAGAAAAGCCATCCAACCTGTTTGCTCACATTTCCCTTTGATGTGCATTGCTTTGTCCGCTCACATGCTTGTTTTCCATACAGAGAGAAATTTTGGGTGAACAGGGTTACACTTTTGAAACAGAAAGACCCACAGCTGTTGTAAAACCACAAAGTCATGACAGAAAAAGAAACAAATATAAAAGTAGGATGCGTTTAAAGAGATGCGAGCAACAGAAATGAATGTTTGTTGTTTGTGCAATTCTGTAAAACAACTGGAACAACTTGTGAATTTTCATTCACAAAATTAGACCTTTTTTGTAGGATTTGGTATTCTATAAATCTTTCATGATTAGATTTTTTTTTTTACTTCATGATGTACTACAGTTTTTTCCCCTCTGATTTTCTGCAGCCTTTGCCTTCACTAAATGTATTGATCATACTCTAAGTATCAAACCCCTAAGTATAAAATTTAGCAGTGTAACCCATCCTGCATTGTGCCACAGACATAAATGACAAATTCAGAACGCATTAGCAGTTACATTAGCAATGCATTGAAAAACATTCAGTGCTTGGCAGCATGGTTGTTTTTTTTTTCTTTTCTCTTCTGAAAATGTAAAAATCTATGTCATATTTTTTATAGGCTACCCCTCTCCTCTGGGTGGTTCTGAACATGCCCCCAGTCCGGTACCTGCTAACGGCCCTCCGTCTGGCCCCATGATGCCTACTGGTTCTGGTGCCATGGAGGGCGGTGACCCACAGGCCATGGGTCAGCAGAACCGCAGTGGTGGTGCTGGTGGTGTTGCAGGTTCAGGACCCAGTGGAGGACCTCCAAATGCAGGTGGACCTGGTGGAGCCGGCGGGCCCACTCCTTTTAACCAAAACCAGCTTCACCAACTGCGGGCACAGATCATGGCCTATAAGATGCTGGCACGCGGGCAATCTCTACCTGACCACCTACAGATCGCGGTGCAGGGAAAACGGCCCATGCCAGGCATGCAGCAGGGGATGCCCAACATGCCCCCTGCCTCAGGACAAGGAGCAGGACCACCTGGACCAGGAGGCTCCGGACCTGGGGGACCCAACTACAACAGACCACATGGTGAGTAATAAATTCAAAGCTCTCCAAAATGCTGAAATAAGCACCATATGAAATTAGATCAAGTTAGTTTGTTTTTGGGATATTTGTTTTAATTGCATTATTTTCATAATAATTTCCTGCACATTAAGCACATATATTTATTATTTAATCAGTATTACTCGGTCTTTAAATGTACAGTGACACTGTAACAAGGACACCATAAAATGTAAAGTGTAACCAAATATTTTAATTAGGGGTGTCCCTGACTAAGGATTTTCATAGTCGAATCGGAATTTTCGAATCTTGCCGATATTCGACTGATAGTCGAATCATATGTTTTGCAAAATACATTACCAAGGGTAAAGTCAGACATTCGACAGTCATAATTATGTTAACACACAGGGAAAATGAGTAACGGATGCCTCGCAGATAAAAACGTGGTCAATAATGTTTTATGTTGTGATTAAAAGATAGTTAAAATTAAACGTCAGTGAAACCCTAAGAATTCACTACATTTTTTACAATAGTGCTCTCATTATAACGTTATGTATATGACAGTAGTTATTAATGTTCTGCATTTCTGTTTTGAGCTGTGCGTGCTGAAGATGACCAGTAGAATGGAGCAGCAGGTTTTTAATCAATGGGATTTAACTCATTTATCTCGTATACAATACGCTTCGTTATTTATACAACATAATGTTAATATTATGACTTATAGGCTATCTGCATAAAATGCCCCGAATGCACGAACGTGTCTGTGCGGCTCTGACTGAACTCCTTTTGTGGACGCGTTCTTCACGCAACAACGTGTAGAAACACGGCAACTAAACTCTAAAAATGTATTATAATAATAATATATATATAATATAATATAATATAATAATAATATAATAATTTATTATAATAGTGTTCTCATTATAATGTTTTGTATATGACAGTCCCAGTCATAGTTATTAA